GTGGGACACCTTCCCCCACCTGTAAGAGCACCAACAGTTTTGTTTATCTCACTCAATCCCTCCTCTGGTCTCATTACAGGAGAAAACAGCCTACTACAAGATGGAGAAAGCCAAGGTGACGTGTCCCACATTTGTCTCCTCACCCTTTATGAGGAAAGGATTCAGTCTCTGGTTCGACGCTTATGTGGTGATACCAAAACCACCAATCCCCGCCACCACAAGTCAGAATCACTGCCCTTTGCTGTGCTGTTTCCCACTGGTGTCACTCTGAATGTCCGTGCTCGAGTTTCTACCCTTGTGGCATCTACACAGTCTAGGCAGCCTGAAGGATGGCCCCGCAAGCCTTCTTCTCTTTAACCCTCTTTAAGGCAAATCATTTCTATTTCCTATTACGGTCCGAAGCGCATCTTTTGTGATAAATAAAACAAAGAACTGCGGATGCTGGAGGTCTGAAACAAAAACAGAAATCACTGGGTATAACTGAGTAGTTCTGGCAGCATCTGTGCAGAGAGAAAACCAAGTTAACGTTTTGAGCTCTGATGGAGAGTAATCACTCGAAATGTTAACTTTGCTTTCTCCCCGCAGATGCTACCAGACCTGCTGAGTTTCCCCAGCAATTTCTGTTTTCGTTGCGTATCTTTTGTGATTGGCTATTATTTTGAGCTTTGGAGTTGGTTAATTGGATGACAATTCTGTCAATCCTTATTTCACAAGCCGAAAGCGATCAGAATTGTATCTCCCTCGGGTACATTCATTTTTTTTTGTTTTGTAATATTTGAAGAGTCTTTCTCCCAAATTTCACGCTACAAGAAGAATGTCCAATAGTTGCAATGTCAGCACTCAGAGGAGGCGATTTTCATACGTGGGGTGGTTTCAATTGCAGCACGCAATTAAACTGTGCTCTCTATTTCGTTGCAGTGCTTTTTATTTCATTCAACTATTTATCTTCTAACAATATGGCATAAATTACAGTGCATATTCTCAACAAAGTAGTAAAAATATAAATTTTATGTTCATGTTCTCAGATTTAACAATAATTAACGATAAACAAATTAAATCTCCTCCTTGTTAGGAGAAGCCAAAGATAGGAACAGCTGACGTCAGGTTGGGAGAAGTTGTGGTGTCAGTGGGTGTTTGTCAGTCTTTGTAGAATGTTGTCAGGGTAAAACACGCTGCGTTGTCTTTCCTGCGTGAGTGCTTTTTATATTTTGTTGCAGTCCATGTAATATTCAATTTGAAATGTTTTGTCACGTACCTTGGTAATGTTATGAGTATAGCAGAAGGGGAGGAATACGCCAATGCGGAAGTCTGATGTTTCATGTTCCTGCTCATGGCTGCCGCCGGGTCTCCTTAGCTTCTCGCTACAGCAAAATCTCCTGTCACCTTGTAGACACTTGCATTTTCAACGCATGGCTTCTGTCTAAAATGGTGTCGTTTTATTCCAGTAATGCTACATTAGATGCTTTTGCATAGCTGAAGTGTGCTTGCGTTGCTGTGTTCTTTCCTCGGTGTGTAACGGTTTCCCTATTAATTGACGCGTTTCCTTAAAGAGGTAAAGGGTTGCAGTAATAAGAGTCAAGTTGAACTTTAAAGGCACTTTCTCAGCTTTGTAAGAGAAATATAATCTTAAAAACAACAATTTCGTTCATTTACGTTATTGGAGTAGGTGTTAAGAAATACTTTAGGATCTACAACATATCCTGTGGTTCATCGGGTGTTTATAATGTTTATCGAATTTGCCCTTCTGCACAATGTGCACTTGTTAACTGTCATGTTAGTGTTTTTTTTTGATGCTAGTTTTCCCTTCTGTTCTGGTTCTAGTGGTGAATGTAATGTTTTTTGATGTCAGTTTGTCTTCCTGCACTGGTTCTCATTGATGATTAAGTGTTTGCTGACATCTGTTTGCCTTCCGTTGCTGGCTCACATTGTCTGAAATTCGATTTGAGGGTCATAAAACACACTGGTGATTGACAGCTCTGGACTTTCTAAAGAGCTCGATGGTTGTGCGTTGCACTAATGGTAATCAGCACGAATAGGTTCTCGGGGCATATAGTGATAGTGTACCTACCTCTATGGCAGATAGTCCAGATTGAAGTCCTACTTGACTAAGAGACTCATTTGAATAGGTTGATTCAAAATAATTAGAAATTAAATAGCTTCTTACAACTATTTGGACTAACAACTGATACAACACTAAAAGAGGATTGTCTACCTCAGTTGCCAGTTTTCAAATTGGTGTACTTTGAGTACTCTTGATATTTTCAATTTTCAGCTTACCCATAATAGATATTTATTTTGGGGCCAGAACACACTGACAAAATTTAATGTGGATGCTGTCACTTGTATATAAGTAATGCAATAATTTGTGGTGAAGGTGAGACCTCTTCTGAGTTGCGAATTGTCCCAAGTTTTTGGATGCTGTGTGCTGATCCTGCTGCCTTGCAAAAGCAAGGGCTCATCAGTCTCCGTGAGAATGCCAAATGTTGTACTATTATTCAAACATTGTATTTACATTGTTAACGTGTATTATATTTGCTGCAAAATTCAAAGCTGATGCACCAATTACTTTTTTAAACAATGAGATTAGTGTTCCTGCAATCCTCCTTCCTTGAAAGGGAAAAGCTATTTTACAAATAGCCAACCTTTCCTGTTTTTTGCTCTCTTATTTCTTTTCTTTTTGTAACTAACTCGACTCAAATCTATCCTAATTCTTTCTCTGTCCTTGCTAACTTTATTTCTCTAGCCGTAAATCTCATTAAATTAGATATGTTGCTCACTTTAGCTTGCATTTCTAGCAATTTGTCGCACAATAATTTTCAAACGGAGAGTAAAGAGAAAACAAAAATAGAAGAATAGCTGCTGGGACATGTCCCACTCAATCAGCCTCTGGAAAATCTTGAACATTTTCTGCATCATGTTATTATAGTGCTATTACTAGGGGAAAAAGAAGCTTCCTGAGGCACTTCCAAAAGGAATAAGTTTATGTAAAAACTGAATACACTGTCAAAGAAAAAGCTAGCAGAAGGGGAGCTTTTATCAGAGTGATGGAATTGAGAAAGATCTTAAGCAAGGGAAAAGACTATATGGTTTTGGGTGGGAATTTTTAGGGCAGGGGCTAAAACAGCTAGCACATGCCTGAAATGATAGGCTAAAGGGTGGGGTGCACAAGAGGCAAAGCCTGGTGAACTGATGGGAGTGGAATGTAAAACTGGAAAAGTTTACAAAAATAGGAAGAAGACTGTGAAGATATGTAAAAACAAATTTTACTCTGGTAACAAAGTGTGGATTTGGAGGAACACAGCAGGTCAGGCAGCATCAGAGGAGCAGGAAAGTTGACGTTTCGGGTCCGGAACCTGCTGCAGCAGAATGACCTGATTTATAGAGCATAGACAATGTAAGATTGCTGCAAAAGTAATGGAATAGGAGCATGTGAATAGGTGAATGTAGAATTGATTAAAACATGGATGAGAGTTTCAGAAGCAAATTACCCACCTCCTCTGCCTCAAGCTATGTTGTAGAGGTGAAAGCTGATGGTTTTCTTCTTGGGTTCTGGTGGGAATTTGGCTGACTAAGAAGCTGAGATTGTTACATTGAACTAGACTATATATCATGCTTGGGGCTTGCATGGAATAAGAGGCAAGGAGAAAGGATTTGTGGCAGGGAGATGGACAAGAACTTTGGTCTTCTCAGGGGTTAATCAGAGTATATTGCACCTCATCCATAATTAACATGCAGATGAGAACTTAAGGGTTTTAAAGAAATGCTGATATATCAGTGTGTCAGTTTTAAAGTTTTTTTTGGCAGCATGTGGATATTCTTGGCAAGGCCAATGTTTGTTGCCTATCCTTAATTGCCCTTATCAAGGTTTACAAGGTCATTTCGGAGGGTAATTTAAGAGTCATTGTTGAGGGTCTGGCAGAATCCTTCACTAAAGGGCATCAGTGAAATAGATGGATTTTTTAAAGTGACATTGATGATCACCTTTACTGAGATGGACCAGAACATTAGCTTGAGCCTTTGGATTACTAGTCCGATGAAATTACTTCACAGTTTCTCCCAGTATACAGGTGGCCACTCTTCCCATGTCTCCAAATTTAAAAGCAACACATAGGTGAAAGGAAAATGGATTCTAAACCAGGAAGCCAGATTAGCAAGTCTGATAGAAGGCTTTGTTGAAGAGATTGAAATTAAGAAGGGTTAAAGGGAAGGAGATAAATGTCAAGAATTTAGGGAGTAAAGTGAAGAAAATCTAGCCAAGTGGTTTAAGACGTTCTCTCCGGTTGTGGAATAAAGAGACGAGGAAAGATGCTTAAAAAGAACGACTTGGGTGTAGTGGTTGAAGAAATTTGCAAAAATAAGTTCTGTGAAAACACAGAAGGATCTGAAGAGCAGATTGAGGGTTTCAACTTTGCAATTAAAGGAGCTGGGTACAAATTTTGGTCAGTAGGGAGTGGTATCATGGTCAAATGGCTCTTACTCAAGAACATACTGTGCATGGAGGAGTAACTTTTTTTCTGCTAAGAAGTTATCTGTCAGTGATAATACAGCTTTCTGTTGATGCACTGATACATGTCTTTATAAGTTAGAATCAGAGGTTTCAGGTTTGTGCCAATATTTGCAAACATTATAAATGTACAAAAATGATATCCCACTAATGCAACATCTTCCTGAACTATGGGAATCGTTCTGAGGAAGGGTCACTGCACTTGAAACGTTAACTCGGTGAAGGAGAAAACAGATACTGCCAGACCAGCAACTTTGTTTTTGTTCCTGACTTACAGCATCCGCAGTTCTTTCGGTTTTTGTGGGAACCCTAATTTGTTTTCTGAGTAACCTTACCTAATCTAGTTTGTTATTCCAATGTCTTTTTCTCTGCACGTACTTATGAAGAAAGTGATTTATAGTATGTCAGAATCCTTTCAGTGCCATCACTGAAATCTTCATGTAAGAATCCAGACAGCAATTGTTGATATTCCTTTCAAACAGAACATCATTAGAACTAAAATGAATCTTGCTGTCACCTGGCATCCACACTCCAATTGAACTTGAATTGAAACACATGCTAATCATGGTGATTTCTGGCATATTGCAGCACCCTTTGTCCTCATAACCTCTCTTCTTTTTCAGGGTGAACTCCTGCTTTATTAATGGAAGTTGGTATTCTGGTAAGTGTACAGAGATTCCAGTTGAGCAGAAGGCACTGTTTAAATAAGGCTGCATTCATGGACAACACCACTGCTAGGTGGGACAATGAGTGCACATGTGCAGCAAACCAGTATTTGCACCACTCAGTTTGCATACAGTGCATGTGACTGGAGCTCTGAAACTTTTTGTACTGTTTTAAGGACTCCTAGGAAATTTTAAAATCCACAAACAGTGTTGGGAAGTCTAAAATCCATAATTGAATGCCGCAACAATTTCATGTTCTCACCTGTGCTGGGTCGACCCTGCATATGGGCACAATTGAGATTCCTGTCAATGTCACAGAGATTTTTGTACATGGACACAACACTGTATATGCACAGTTATCTCTTGACAGCCATCCTGAATGGCTGGCTGCCTTAGGAACACATACTCCAAATAAACAGCTAAACTGTTATCTGTGCCAGCAACCTCATTCTAAAACAGTAATAATCTATATAATTGGTAATATAGAACTTTAAACGTGACTAAAAAGAGACATGAAATCAAAGTTTTGCTTTTTTTTATAAAATAAGTGTTGATAATTACCCTTGCTGGTCATGTCAAACAGTATTGTACCTATTAAATCACATTATTTGCCTGCTGGTTTAGACAACTTTGTCTTTGTCAGAAGAAAATTGTATGAAATGCTAAAATTTATGTGCATACAGTATTTATAAACTAAAATCAGTTTCAGGATAGTCACACCAATGTGGGTGATGTGATATTACTAAGCAACTCTCGTGATTTCTGTTTATTATCTCAATCCCTTGGTTGTGTTACTGCTTTATAGTATAGTTTTGAGACCACGTTAAATATAATTTAAAAAATCAAGTCATTTAGATTTAATGTAGTTCCTAAATTTAGCACATCACATGATAAATTTTTTCATAAGAGGAGAAGAATTTGTCTCCTCCTACTGTGCCCAGCTTGTTACCATTAATGAAGACAGTGGAAACCATAATTACTGGATGCTTGTAATTAACAACAAAGAAAACTGATTATATGGTACATTTTTATACAAATGTTACTCAGATTGGTAAAGACCAGTAATCTGATTCATAATTCCAATCTGCTCACTAATAATCATGCTTGATGACCAACATATAAAAGGATGAATGCCATTGAGCAGGATATCCTCCATAACGTTTTTAAAAAATAAAATTCGAATTGGGGAAATATAAACTGTTTGAACAAGGTTGAAATTTGTACGGTCAAGTGTGGATAGTCTATTTATGTCAGACCAAGAAGAACAAGATATTTTTGGCAGATGTATGAGATGGGATGTGAAGTACAAATATGTTCTTAGATTAAGAATTGCCTTCACAAGCTTTGTTTTAAATTGGAAAACAATGAGCAGAATCACAGTGAAAATGACACTGCTATTTTGCTTTATTCTCCACATTCTTGTTCTATTAAATTTTTCAACTGTTTAGGGGGAAAAAAATGTAAGGCACAGCATTAAAGGAAATAACAGAAAAAAACCACTTCTTCCCTCAGCAATTAAATCTTGTCAAGTAAATGGTTAATAGTAAGTTAAAACAATTTGATATATTAATAAATTTAGATACAGCTTGCCTCATTAGTAACTGCTTTGAAAGGTATCAGTGCAATGATGAATCGTAGTGTAGGTTATGATGTGGGATTGGTTTGGATGGAAATCAGCAATAGCACAAGTGAGCGTTGTCTATAGGCACTGAACAGCTGCCTCCCCGTAGGACAAGGTATAAATTGGGAAATAATGGAACCAAGTAAGAAGGGCGCTACAATTGTTATGGCTCATTTTAATCTACATATTGACTGGACAGATCAGATGACCAAGGGTAACATGGAAGATAAATTTGGAGACAGGGATTGTTTCTTACAGCAGTAAATGCTGACCCTACCCAGGAACAGGCTATTTTAGATCTAGCACTGTGTAATAAGGTTAAGATTAGAGGTGGCAAACATAACATGCTAGAATTTCAAATACAGTTTGAGGGGAGCAATTTGGATCTCAAATCAATCTCCTCAACTTAATTAAAGGCAATGGAAGAGTTGTCTAAGGGGAAGGTCAGTGGATGAGCATCTGCAGACATTTAATCAGATTATTTCCTAACAGTACATTCTTTAAAAAGACACCGATGAGAAGAATGAAACACTTGTGGTTGACAAAAATGGTCAATGAAAATAACAAATCAGAAACTAAGGCATGAAAAGCTGTGGAAAATTAGTATCAGGCCAGAGGGCTGGACGTTTTTAAGGAAGCAGCAGCAGATTGCTTAAAAGACTAATCCTTTTTTAAAAAAAGTGTTTATGAAAATAAAATGGCAAGAACCATGTGATGAATATATAAAAAGAAAGGGAGTAGCTAAAGTAAATTTGCTAGAATTTTTTTGAGGATACAGCAAGCAGAGTTGATGAAGGGGTTTCCTTTCGATATCGTGTATTTGGATTTCCAGAAGGCATTTGATAAATTGCCACAAAGAGTTTTCGCTTGAATGTCAAAGGATGAGAGGAGACCTGACGGAAATTTACAAAATTGAGAGGCATGAATAGCCAGAGCCTATTGTTGCCAAGGTAGAAATGTCAATTACTAGAGGATATAGGTTTAAGGTAAAAGGGGGTAAGTTTAAAGGACACATGAGAGGCGTGATTTTTATAGAGGGTGGTGTGCATTTGGAATGTAGTGCGAGAGGTGGGTGGAGGAGACCAATACAATAGCAATGTTCAAGAAGCATCTTGAAAAATATATGAATAGACATGGAATAGGAGGGTACAGGCTGCACAGAGGCAAAAGATTTTTAATTTAGAAGGCCAGTCTTAGTGGGCCAAAGGGCCTATTCCTGTTTGTACTCTTCTTTGTTTCTGCCTTGAGCAAAGAACATACTGTATTGGGGGTAATATATATTTGCATGGATTGAAGATTAGTTAACACATAGACAGAGAATCAGGATTAATGAGGCTTTTTGAAGTTGGAAAGACCTAAATGAGCGCCACAAGGATCACACCTGGAGTCTCAATTATTTGCAATCTATATTAATGACTTGGAGGGTGCTGAGGATAATGTATCTAAGTTTGCTGATGATACAAGAATAGATGGAGTGCATCTATGATAAGGTCACAAGGAATCTCCAAGAAGGTATAGATAGGTTGTGAGTGGAGGAAAAAAACGCTTTTTTTTTGGCACATTGAGTTTAATAAAGGAAAACGTGAGATCATGCACTTTGATAGGAAGAATCAAAAGGCATAATATTGTGTAAATAGAAAGAGACTCCAAAAATGTGCAGCACAGATGTTTTTGTGCATAAAACACAAAACATTAGCCTGCATGTGCAGCATGTAATTAAGTCAAATTGAATTTTGTCCTTTGTTGCTAAGAGTTTGGAGTTTCAAAATAGGGAAGTCTTGTTACAACTGCACAAAGTAGTGAGACTGCATCTGGAGTACAGCGTACAGTTTTGGTCACTGTATTTAAGAAAGGATACACTGACATTGGAGGCAGTTCAAAAGAAATTCACTGGCTTGTTCTTGTAATGAAGGGGTTGATTTATCAAGAATGGCAAAAAAGGTTAGGACATTATTCATGGGAATTTAGACAAATGATGGGTGAGATTCTGACTGGGCTTGAAAGGGCAAATGTTGAGAAATTGTTCCCATCAGTGAGGAAATCTAGAATTGGGGGATACAGTTACAGAATTAAAAACTCAAAAACACACTTCAAACTGAGTTGCAGAGGAATTTCATCTCCCAGATGGTAATAAATGACTTGAATTTTCTCTCTGGAAGAATTATGGAAGCTAGATCATTGAAAGTATTTATAGAGGAGGTAGATAGACTTTTGAGATATTGAAAAGTTGAGGGTTATGATCTGCTATGAAAGAGGAGTTGAGGCCTGGAGCAGATTAGCCATGATTTTATTCAATGGAGGGGCAGACTTAGAGGACTGAATGTCCTCCTCTTCTTAATGTTTCGAATGTTCTTATTTCTTGTATTCTCAAGATTTACCTTTTTTTTTTTAAAAATATGTGTTTGGTTTTGTCTCTCAGTAAATAAAATATAAAAAAAGACTGTAGCTGCTGGGAAATCTGAAACAATAACAAATTGCTGGAGAAACTCAGTAGGTCCAGCAGCATCTTTTGGGAGAGAAATAGGGTTAATGTTTCAAGTTTTTCTTCAGAACCTTTTTGTTTTTACTAAAATCATTCTGACTCGTGATCAGACTTTGATTTTCGAAGTACTTGTTAGCTGTTTAGGAATAAATGTCAACATTATCCCATTGACTGTCTGGCTAGCTTGCCCATCGTTCCCTGGTTTCTCTCTCTCCACCCGCCTGCCCCCTTCTTGAACAGAGGTATTATGTTTGCTTACTACCAATCTGTTGGACTGATCTAGGAATCAAGAGAACATTTACTGAGATTACATTGCATTGTATTACTTAAATGAGGTGGCTTTCAACTATCCTTCATTATTTCCATCCTGTCTGCTTCACTGCTTTTGTTGAATAAATGTGACTGCACTCGTATCCAGTTTCAGTCTAGTTATGACACTTTTTAGGCCTTTTTTTTTTTTAATTGTTTTGTTTATCCCTTGCTATTCACATCCAGACAAGAAACAAAGCACTTCCCAACAGAATTTTTTTTCTTCAAAGTCAGAAGTCACACCACACCAGGTTATAGTCCAACAAGTTTGTTTGAAATCACAAGCTTTCAGAGTGCAGCCCCTTTTGTCAGGTGCAGTGAGAGAGTAGAGCACACAGACAGAGTTCTGAGGAAGGGTCACTGGACCCAAAATGTTAACTGTTTTCTCCTTCACAGATGCTGCCAGACGTGCTGAGCTTTTCCAGCAACTTTATTTTTGACACAGACAGAGTCTCTCTGACTATAAATTAAAAGATCATAAAACTGATGAGTGGAGTGTCAGATAATAACATTCGGCAGGTGACCAAGGTGAGTCGAGTGTCAACAGCTGGATGACCTATAATCCAATTAAGTGAAGCAGAGAG